AGGGAAAGGGAAGACGCCTGTGTGGAGATGAACAATGTGCTTATTCACAACGGGTGCACCTTTGAAAGAGGTTCATAGTGTCTTGCAGTAGGAGGTCTTGAGCGGTTTTGATTAATGCTTAGACGAAAGGATCACATGCAGAGGTTGCTTCAGTGCCTTTACTGCTGGTGGTGGGCCGCAGAGGTGAGCGGTGTCGTGAAGCCTGTTGCTTTTGTCTCCCCTTGCTCCCTGCAGGACGGCCGTACCGTGGAAAACCCAGTGACATGTGGGCGCTGGGCGTGGTGCTCTTCACCATGCTCTATGGCCAGTTCCCCTTCTACGACAGCATACCTCAGGAGCTTTTCCGCAAAATCAAGGCTGCTGAGTACACCATCCCTGAGTGAGTACAGCCTGTCCTGGGGAGGCCCTTCTCTTAGTGCCTGTGCGGGCGGTGCTCTGGGCCGTACTGGGACAGCCGGAGCTGGAGGGGCTTCAATCAAAGCCCCTGAGGGTCGCAGCAGTAATGAGACCAAAGACTGTGTGCAGTAAACACCGAGGAAGGAGTAGCAGAGCTGGGACATCTTGTGCAAAGGTGAGAGAGGCCCCGTGCTGCAGGGACAGAGAATCGACCTCCCGACTAATTCTGGGGTCTGTCATTCAGAGCAGCGGTGGCTCCTCTAGTTCCTGAGCTGGGCTCCCAGCATGTCCGTCCTGCTGCTGCGTCTGCCCACCTTGTGCACTCGGGCTCACCGCACGTTCTCTCTCCCAGGGATGGACGGGTCTCGGAAAACACTGTGTGCTTGATCCGAAAACTGCTGGTCTTGGATCCGCAGCAGCGTCTGACAGCTTCTGAAGTGCTGGATTCTCTCAGCTCCATCATAGCATCATGGTATGTGCAAGTGGAGAGACAGTAACATGGCGTCTCTGGCCACAGGCTGTGTTATTCCAGCTGCAGCCAGCAGACTGCTGCCAAACAGGACACCGGAGGATGATCTGAGGGAACTGCAAAAAAGCCTTTAAATCCTGTCTCTCAACCATTGGTGTCTGCTGATGGATACAGCCAGAGTGGCCTGTACAAATGCTTGTCATTGAGGCCAAGGTTGGAGTCTGTAAAGCAACAGCGTTACAAAAGAGTACTGGGGTACAGAGGGACCTTTGCTGCTGCGCTGCCCCTTGTGTTCCCAGATCTGATTTTTAAAGAAAGTCTAATGGTCAGGAATATCTTACATGTACAAACAGACGCGGCCGAATGCAGACGCTTCCTGCAAGCCTGTGGTTAGCACTGCATTACCCGTTCAGTAAAAGCAGGCACGAGATCTCTAGAGGGGAAGAGCAGGCAGTGCCATTGCAGGTGGGAACACTACACGTGCAGGGTGGGGATGCCCTTTGAGGGGGGCAGGACTGGCATGAACCCACTGGGATGAAATTCCAGTAGCATACTCCAGCAGAAATGGATCCTGGTGATGTTTGCTTGGTGCAGCCCTCTCTTGTCAGCCCCATGACCTTCTGTCTGTGCTGCGCAGCATGCCTGGGCAAAGTTCTTGTGCTGCCTGTTGAGTCAGCAGTGAAGTCTGTGATTGTTGGAGCTGTGGCTGTTTTCTCTCCTACCTATGCAAGAGTTACAGTTCCACATCCTGTTTTTTTATAAAAAAAACCAAAACAAAAACAAGCAAAAAAACCCCACCAGCTCTGGGGATTTTGACATGATTTCATACCAGGGAAGTTGAATTTGGAATAGCATCCTTTAGCAGCAGTAGCTGGTGTGGCATCCAGACAGCGCTGTGCCACACTGTGGTGGCCAGCCATGGTAAGCCAGGCAGGATTACCCTGGCCAGGCTGGTGGGTGAGGGTGGGTGAATGGGGGCTGAGCTCCAGGTGCCTGATGCTGTGCTTTTCCCCCAGGCAGTCCATGTCCTCGCTGAGTGGCCCTTTGCAAGTGGTGCCAGACATCGATGACCAAGTGGCTAACCCTGAACACCCCCAAGAGGTAGGCTTTCCTACTTTCCTTTCCCTAGAACTGCTTTTCTGTGCCCCCGTGCTAAGTCTGTCTTTAGTGGAAAGAGATGGCAGCCCCTGTGGCCCCGAGCTGGGGAGGGGAGGCTGGCAAGGACCCAGCTGTGG